TGGTGGGAGGTGTCCCTGCCCATGGCAGGGGGGTTGGAACTGGGTGGTCTTTGAGGTCCCTTCCAACCCAAACCGTTCGAGGATTGACCCCCAGCGGGATGTGCCACCGTTCATTCCCCTTGCCACCAGCAGTCCCTCGGGACGTGCCGCCCGCTCCGCTCGCGGCAGGCTGGCTGCTGGGGCAGCTCCCTGCCTTTGGTAAGGAAAACTCTGTTGGAGGTTTGGGCTGGATCCAGCCCTGCTAATCGCAGTGGCAGAAGTCCCACTGGCATGGGGGGGGACCAGGCTTTGGCAAGAGGAAAGGTTAGCACGTGGGACTCTAGGGGACCAAGCCAGGGCTGAGGGGCTCTTCAGGGAGAGCAGGGGGGAATCTCCTAGAGGAAAGGAGAAGCCCAAATCTGTCCCTAGACCTGCCAGTGGCGTTGTGACCTCTGGTTCTCGCTTTAATTTTCCTTTTCGTGCAAGAGTGAAAGTGACCCCCTTGCTTTCTAGTAGTGTGAGCCCATTAAGCCCTTTGGGATCCCTGGGTGAAAGACCTCTCCATCCCAGTGTGCTCAGGAATGGAGGAGGGATGGGGCCAGGCTTGAACTTCACTGCCCTGAGCGGTGTCGTTACCCCCTACAAGGGCAGAGGTGAGCTCAGGAGCCGTGCTGCACGCAGCTGGGGAGGGAGAGCAAAGCTGGAAGCTTCTTAACTGAGTTTTGTGGCATCTGCACAAGGCTGGGGTTCTTGCCCCGCTCTCAGCTTGCACCTTTGGAGATTGCTGGGTTGGATGGCATTTGGGCTGGGTGAAGTCTTTTGTATGGGAAAGCAAGTTTCATCTTTGCACGTTCTCCCTTTGGGTGTGATAATGCCAGGTCTCACTGACCAAGCTGGATCGAGACTTGAGGCTTCAGAGTGTGGCAGAGACCGACAGAGGTTTCCTTAAGTGGGTTTTTTCCCGAGTCTTTGTGAAACCCTGCAGGCACCATCCCTTTTAAAAGTCTTGTTGATGAAGTCCTGCCCTTTCCTCACCATGGAAGACCTGCAAGCAGTTTTTCCAGAAGTATGGCCTGCAACACCTGAAAAAAAACCCTGGTGCAGGCAGGGACATTTACTGGCAGCGGTGACTGCCGCTCGCCCTCCCTGCTCTGGCAGATCGGTAGGGTGCTCTTTGCCGCCTGCCCGAACACCTTTTAGGATGTTATTCCATACTCGCTTTCTCTTCCACCAGAGGCAGCCGCGTTTCAGTCGTGGAAAAGTACTTTCCCGTTTGTGTGGTTTGTAAAGCACTTGAGAAGCACTTCAGGGCCCCCTTGGGCTGCCGAGTGATGTTGTGGGAATCGCCGCTACCTAACAGAGGCCTTTCCAGCTGCAGAAGGTCCGTTCCTCTGCCTTACAGGCACCCCAGGCGGCTCGTGCCGCCCTGGTAGGAGAAATGTGAACGTGGCTGTTGGTCCTGACTGGAAAAACGGGGAGAGCCTCCTGTGTGAGCAGCGAGAGGCGCGGTGGGATGAGCTGTGGTGGGGCGTTCAGGTGGGATGCCCCACCGGTTAGAGCTGCTTGCGCTGGTGGGGTGGGTGCAGGAGCCGAGAGGTGCAGGGGACATCCCCCAGCCTCCGTCTTGCTGGGACACGGCGGTGGTGGGGGTCACTCCCCGTTGAAGAAGGGGGATGCCAGGGGTGCGGGCCGGCAGAGTGGCCCTTTGCCGCTCTCCTCCACGTCCAGCTGGGCGCTGGCCATCTCCCGTGGAGGGGCAGGGCAGTGTGGGACTGTCATCCTGGGGGAGATCCCGGCCTCTGGCCTGCCCGCTGAGGCTAGGAGCCCCACGGCACCTGCTGTGTCGTCCCCATTCGTGGAGGTACCGGTGCCACCCTGCTACCTGCTCCCCTTCCCCTTGCTGCTGTAGTGCACTGACTCCTCTCTCGTTTTCTCTCTCCTCCCCGGTCCTCCGGAGCAGCAGCGGCCGGTGAAGCAGTCTCTCAGCAAGTCCCTGTGCCGGGAGTCCCACTGGAAATGCCTGCTGCTGTCCCTCCTCATGTACGGCTGCATGGGGGCCATGACCTGGTGCCATGTCACCAAGGTGACCCGGCTGACCTTTGACAGCACTTACAAGGGCAAGTCCATGATGTACCACGACAGTCCCTGTTCCAACGGCTACGTCTACATCCCCTTAGCCTTCCTGGTGATGCTCTACGTGGTGTACCTGGTGGAGTGCTGGCACTGCTACACTCGCAACGAGCTGCAGTACAAAGTGGACGTGGAGAGCGTGCACGAGCGCGTGCAGCGGATGCAGCAGGCGACTCCCTGCATCTGGTGGAAGGCCATCAGCTACCACTACGTCCGCAGGACCCGGCAGGTTACCCGCTACCGCAACGGGGATGCCTACACCACCACCCAAGTGTATCACGAGCGGGTCAACACCCACGTGGCCGAGGCCGAGTTTGATTATTCCAATTGCGGAGTTAAGGACATCTCCAAGGACCTCATTGACTTGGAGAGCTACCCAGCCACGCGGCTCCGCTTCACCAAGTGTTTCAGCTTTGCCAACGTGGAGTCGGAGAACTCCTACCTGACCCAGCGGGCCCGCTTCTTCACGGAGAACGAGGGCCTGGATGACTACATGGAGGCCAGGGAGGGAATGCACCTCAAAAACGTGGACTTCAAGGAATACATGGTGGCCTTTTCCGACCCGGACAACCTGCCTTGGTACGTATCCCACTATGTCTTCTGGGTGGCGGCTCTGCTGACCCTATCGTGGCCGCTGCGGGTGCTAAACGAGTACCGCACCTCCTACGTCCATTACCACGTGGAGAAACTCTTTGGGTTTGACTACGTGGCGGTGACGCCGGCCGAGGAGCGCTCCTTCTGCCGCCGCATGCCCCGCGTCAACACGGTGGACAGCACCGAGCTGGAGTGGCACATCCGATCCAACCAGCAGCTGGTGCCCAGCTACTCGGAAGCGGTCCTGATGGACTTGGTGGGGCTCTCCGGCTGCAACGGCTACTCCGCTT